TTAGATATAGCCATCCTTACCTAAGTTAGTGTTACTAACTTAGATTAGTGTTACTAACGTATATTACTCCATTTGTTTCAGAGGGTCTTCTTAAAGAAGACCTTCCTTAGGGAAGGGCAGAATCTGGTTCCTTGCCTTTGGGTACACAGTGGCTGCAGTAAGATAGGTAGATACTGCATGAATCAAAAGCATAAGCTAGTCAAGCATCTGCTGCACTGGAGGTGGTAGAAGAGTATCAAACAAAATAATTTCATGCTTATAACCTGGGACAGCAGATGAGGTTCTCTCACCAGGCAGGCATTTTGTGTTTGTAACACAGAACTTCCTTTCCTGCACTTTAAGATCTCTAATCCAAGTGTGTAAAATTAGGTTACACCATGCAGTCCATATGCAGGTGTAGTACTTAAAAAGCTTAAGGTGGTAAGAAAAACACAGGTCTACCTGTGCATCAATCATTTGGGGATTGATGGAACCACCTTCATTAGGGTGATTCCTAATGAAGGAACAGCCTTCATTAAGGAGCTCTGTTTCTGAATCCAGATAATAAAATCCTGTACAGCTTTAAAAGCACTGCCTATAGAATCCCTGATGTCCCCTCACATGATACCCTTCTAAGGAACTTCCACTCCACCCTCAACCTGGCCCAGCTAAACTCATGGGTTTCAAGGAGCTCACAGCATAGCTGTGATCCCTCCCAATCACACTTCTTTGCAAACTCTTCTCTTTGCCTCCAGGGAACTGCATGAGTGAGTTCATGGGGCTCATCAAAGGCCACTATGAAGCAAAGGAGGAAGGCTTCCAGCCGGGAGGCGGCAGCTTGCACAGCATGATGACCCCTCACGGGCCAGATGCTGACTGTTTTGAGAAGGCGAGCAAAGCCAAGCTGGAGCCTGAGAGGGTTGCAGACGGGACCATGGTAAGGAGCCAAAGGAGCTAGTAAGACTTTGAATACAGCTTGGCATAGTGCCACTCTTAAACTACAGCCCAGTACTGTAGCATTTTGGCAAGCTGGAAAAGTACTTGGACCCAAGTGCTGCAGCATTCACCTCCCTTACTGATCAGCACCATTCAACTCCCAGGAGCTCCCCTGGAGACATACGATGGCAAGTGGCTTTGATCATCTGCCCATGTAAATTGTTGCCTGTGCAGGAAGCTGGGAATTTTCAGACTGATTAATTGAATTTTTGTCTTAGCCTATGGACAAAGAAGCAAACCCCTTGACTGTCCTCCTGTCTCTACCCCTAAAATCTAATGATGATTATCAACAGACCTTGAACTAGAGCTTTTGGAAGAACCTGGCTTTGTCTGGGCATGCAGGGAGTCCAAAGTCACTCCTGAGACGTGACTAATACCAGCATTGCAATGCCAGATAAGATCTTTCTTCCCCTGGGTTGATCAGGTTGGAGACAGAGCCTGGCAGTGCTGGACCATGCATACAAACTTGTTTGTGGTAGAGCAGACACCTTGCCTGGATTTAAGCTCTCCCTCTCTTGCCTTAACCTACCTTCCCTCTTCCCAACAGGCCTTCATGTTCGAATCATCCCTCAGCCTTGCTGTCACCAAGTGGGGCCTCCAGACCTCCAACCGCCTAGATAAAAACTACTACAAGTGCTGGGAACCTCTGAAAAGCCACTTCAACCCTAAATGCAAGTAAAGAGAAGGTGCTTGCTGCTTGCAACATGTGAGTGAAGGCAGGGAAACCCAGCATACCTACGTGTGATTGCACAGTCAACTCGGGCAATGCAGAGTACCCTAGCACAGAATGACACTTCCAGCAGCCACCAAACCACGAAAATTATCATCCCCGTGTAACTTGGGAAATGCAGTAAAAGAACACCATTAGTCTTAATGTTCAAGTATCCAATTAAAGCTTTCCTGGTGACACACTGAAGCTGAAGTACTTGCGTGTCTCTCACCACACGTAGTTGGAGTGAAAGCTGCACCTTGTGTGGACACAAGGTGACAGTCAGCTCTTGTTCAGAGGGTTTTTAGAAAATACAACCCCATATGTCTTTCACAGGGAGAAGCTAGGGATTGACAAAGCATTTCATGCTGTCTATATGGGAAGAGCTTTACAGAGCCGAAGGCTCTATCAGACCTAAGCCCCCTATTAGAGCAGAACACTTCAACCTGCTCATCTGTGGAGGGTTGCCAAAGGAAAGACTTGATTGTCAGAAAAGTAGACCACAAATGAAAAAAGGCTGGAGAATCCAAAGCACTTCACTGACAAGGGAAAATTTCTGTTCCACACCCTGGCCATCCTTCAACATTGAATTGTTTGTCAGCACTTGACAAATCCTCTCCCTAGCTCAGTGCTAATTTGCAGCATTGCATTGGTGGAGACAGAAAAAAAAGCCCCAAATAGGGTGGGAACCAGGAGGACAGCTCAGACACCTCACACTTCGGGTCTCTACTTTACCACATACCCACATGAAGGTTTCTAAGCTTGGTGCCACCAGAATCTATGTTTCTTATTTCTCAAGACAAACAATTTTCCAAAAAAGAAGGAAATGTAGAACTGCAACACGTAATTTCAGTCAGCTACATCCATCATCAGTTTTGGATCTGCACCAGATCCTTGGGGGAAAAAAAGCATCAGCTTTGAGCAAAGTATTACATTAAAAAATCTACACGGAGATGTTTACTCTAAAATAACCAATTCAGAAAAGGACATTCGGGAGAATCAATTTGCCAGACAAGCTGATTTAATCAGACTGATTCAGAGATAAATGAGGTTTGAATGTTTCACGTGCAGAGGGAAAAAGCTTGTTTTCTGTTTGGGACTTAAATTATCATGCGGTGACCAGCAGGCTTGAATTTCTCTTGTACAGACATATCACTGAAGCAGATATGGGTGGTAACACATCAGTCAAGGGTCAAGTTCCACAAGGCACATATAATTCCCTGTCTTCACTCTACATATCTAAAGGGAAACTTAATGCCCTTTCCTTCCTCTATGCACCCAGCACCACTGCCTCAAACACCAACCCCACCTCCAGTAGCATGGTACATTCATTTCTTGCAAGAAAACAGCATGGACAGTTCTGCAAATAATGACAAAAGTAGGGCAGCATTTCCCCAAGCACCACGCTCAAATCCGCACGGATGTAGCATCAGAGACTTTTATCTGCACAGGAAAGGGCTGTGGCAGGTGCCGCGAGCATAAATCCGAGGCTGGCCTGAAAGACCAGAGGCACTGTGCTCATCCACAATCCACCCTAAACCATTGGCTCAGCTGGCCTGAAACAAATACAGCTGCAAGGGAGAATTTACATGCGTGGCAACTTGAGTTGCAATTAGCTGAGGAAATGGGTCCTGGGAGATCAAATTAGTTTGTGGCAGCAAGAACAGTTAATTTAGCATGCGCAGACAAGCAATTATTTCTTTCCCTAAATACCACTCTCTCCATGCATTGATGCCCCTCTGCATGGATCCACAGCCATATCTTGTAATATCATTTGTGACAGTCTTTTAGAAGCTGTTCTGCAGAGAGAATAATCCAGGTTTGCTTTAGTTAACCCTGCCCAAGAACAAGCTACAGAAACAGGGGCAAGAGGGTTGCTGGGAGCACATAAGGGATTGTAAAAGCAGGGCACGTCTTTGCACAGCTTCTGCACACAGAATTAGTGCCAAACTCCACACAGGCTGAACGTTTTGTGACCCAGACAGGAAAGGAAAGTGCTACAACAGGAAACACTTAAAGAAATTATAAACAAAAATAAACTTCAGGAAACATTTTTATTGCCAGGGTGACTGAGCACAGGCATAGGTTGCCCACGGAGGTTGTGAAGTCTTCAACCCTGGAGATACTGAAAAGCCACGTAGACAGGGCCCTGGACAACCCGCTTTAGACAGCCCTGCTTGAGCAAGGGGTTGGACCCAGATGACCTCCAGAGGTCCCTTCCAACCTCATCCATTTTGTGATTATGTGAAAAAGCTCATTAACTCACTCTGCTGAAGACAGAAAGCAAATGGCCCATATTTACATTCAGGAAAGCAAACGGCCCATATTTACTCGGTAGAGCTGTTTTTGCTGACTTAACGTTGGCTGCTTTCCCAGCAGGCAGAGGGAAGTTTTCAACTTTTGCATCAGACTGAGCTTCTGGCATTAACCTCAACGTTTGGGAAGAAACCACTCCCATACAACGTCCAAAGAATAAAGGTTGCCTGGGTCACAATGGCACCTACAGGCCACTTGAAAATTCAACTCTGAATTAAAAATCTTTTCTTGCACTCACATTCCAGTACCTGGGCAGTAACAATTCCAGAGTCATCTATATCAGTTGACCTGGGCAGAGAAGACTTGTGTTCTTCTAAGAATAAAGAGAGGAGGGATCTTTGCAGGCACAAGGCTCGCCTGGTGTTGGTTTCTTGTTTTTGAATGCAGCCCCTTTACAGGAATGAAATGGAATTTTCCTATACTGCAAGGGAACCAGTGTCAAAACAAAAATCTTTCTCTTTTACTTCTTATCTCCCACTCACAGGAATAACAGAATTAGTAGAAATGCTAGTCACGTATGGCATGACAACCTTGAGTTCACTATTTCCAAATCTGGTACTGTAATTTTATCCAGAAGTTTATTGCAATAAGTAAACACATGGTTTAGGCTTGCATTTTATTAAGGAAAAGAAAAATTAATTCAACTTATTAGACCAGTCAGGCAGGCTCCCAGGTTCTTAAAAATGTATCATAGAACTTGCCTATTCCCAATTAGGGCAAACAACACAGTCAAACTGACAGCAAGAAGAAATATCTAGAAGGCAAGCAATAGTTCTTTAGGAAACTGCTTTGGTCTTGCTTAACATTTTACCTGGCTAGTAATTTTAGACTTCAGCCTGCTTGGACAGCAACAACTTTCATGGTTTAAAAGGAGCCTCTGTACACAGATCAAAGGAGTGCACTGGCCAAGTTCCAGACACTCTCTCTATATCCATCTGGTTTAGACACAGAGGTCCTACTTTATCACACTTTCCATAATTTTTAAAGATGCAAGACAACCAACAAGCAATTAAGATTTATTCTTATGAAGGAGAAACGTCAGCACATAATACATCTTATTTTATTTATATTCCATGAACATCACTGCAATTCCAGGAACTCAGAATACACTGAACGGCCGCTCGTATTTACCTTCTTTGATAAGCCTATGTTTACGGTCCTGTGGAAGAAAAAGAACATTCATTATTATTTTACTAGAGAAGGATTTCAATCAGCCTGGGATAAGAGAACAGCAGCTCTGGTATTTCAGCATGGACTACACAGAGACAGCGCCATATATGATCTTAAGGGTCTTTTCCACTCTAAATGATTCTATAAGCACAAACTCTGGTAAGAGCTGCTAAAAAGAGTGGTTAAAAAGAAAAAGATAACAAGGCACTTAACTTCACCTACTAAAGACATGCTCAGACTGACCTCACCTCACATCTAGCTACTCTCACAGGCCAGCAGAGACCAATTCCTGTGAAGTATTTTTCACCAAACTAGTTGTGTAACAGTTAATTGGTAGTACCTTAGTTTCTACCTCCTCCTTGTGGCTGAATAATTCAGCTTAGAGACATAATTATGGAGAAACTTCCTAATAACTTGCCTGAGTGTGCCTGTGCTCACTTTCAACCCTTTTGTATCTCACTCTGCAGTCATTTACCTTTCTGTCAGGTACCATTACAGGACACTGCGGATACTGCCCAGATTCCTTCTGCTGGATAAAACCAGCAGATGTGCTTAAGACTTAGCAGTGTAGCTTTTGCTTTCGCAGACATAGAGCAAACATTCCTCACAGAAAGATGTATAATGATTATTGTGCATTATTTACTATCAGAAAAACAAGAAAAATTCACAAACATCACTAAAGGAACTGCAATAAAGGAAAACAAATTATCCTGGGCACTAATTAAAGACCTCAGTATGACAAAATACTGCAGAGGTACTGAAGTCTTAAAAATATTCATATCAACATGCTCAGCATGTTTCCTAAAACCTGTATTTTTAATTCGTCCTAGCAAACAACATTCCCTACAAAGACTCTATTAATTTATGTTAGTGACTTGATATAAAATGTTACTTCTGTGCAAGAGGGAAACAAAAAATGTTTTACAACAGCTCCATATTCTCTACAAAAACCAGCCACTGTCTGCCACTTACCTAGCATTTTCTTATGTATGCATAAAGCTGAGGTTTTTCATAATTCTCAGATTCTGATGTCCACATTTTGGGAGTTAGAATGGAAGAAAGATAAACCTTCCAAAATCTTAAACATCCAGCTGAGGTCAGGCACTGCAATCAACATTATTATAACTCCTCCTCACTTCTTTCATGAGATTAGAGAAATGGTCAAGCAATTGCACTGAGACATTGATAGGTCTGTCCTCCATAAGCTTCCTATTTAAGTTTAGAAAGTATAGGTAATGCATATCAACCGCTGAAAATAAGAGTCTCTTATGACTAATTTCCACTATCAGTGCTACAGAGAGCTTTATTACAGCAAAACAGCCTGATCAGGCAAACTGCGACTGGCCATACCCCAGCGTACAATACAAGGCTCTTAGAAAAACAGGACTTTGCAACCAGTTATGAGGCTTTGAGATAGCAAGCTCGGTATCAGTCTTCCTTCCCTCATTACTTCAATGGTATTAATCATTCTGAGGTGCAGATCTACACTTCACAATCCGGTGTTTTTGCTGTTCACCGACGTTCGGTGTCGCCAGATGACTTACCCTGTCAAGTTTGAAGACAGCCATCCAGAAGAGGATGGGGCCTATCGCAAAAACAGCTCCTAGAAAGGACGTCTTGGGGGTTGGGCGGAAATTAGGGTACACGTTGTGCGTCCTCGCATAGACCCAGCGGACCATGGCGGGGTCTTCCTGGGGTGCAAAGAAAACCGCGGTGAGGCCTGCGGGGCCCTGCCAGGGCCACTCCACCCGGGGGAGACCGGGAAGGGCACCAAGGTCACGGGGAGGACGGGCAGCGTCCCGCCGGCACGGCCCCGGCCCCGGCCCCGGCCCCGGCCCCGGCCCCGGCGCGGACCCCGCCGGGTGAGGCGGACAAGCCCCGCGCTCCCCCCGCCGCCCCTCGGCCCGCGCCCGCTCCCTCCCCACTCACGATGACGGCGGGCGGGTTGGGGTTGTTGAGCTGCAGCTGGTACTGCCGCTTCAGCCGGGCTCGGATGGCCAGGCGCTCGGCCTCGGCGCGGCGCTTCTCCGGCGTCGCATCGTAGGTGTCGGGGTCGAGCTCGGCGGGCAGCGAGACGAAGGCGTTGGGCCGGTACAACTTCGCGGCCGACGGAGGCGGCCCGGACGCCATCTTGGACCCCGTCCCTGCCGGCACCGCCCGCGCCGCGCCCCCTGCGGCTCCCGCGGGAATGGCGGGAGCAGCGCCCGCTCCCCTCAGGGCGGCTCGGGGTGTGCGGGCCACCTCAGGGCGGGTGGGACAAAGGTGGGACAACAGTCCTGTTGAAAAATGTGGAATACGTAAAAGTTTTCTTAAGAAAGGCTGTTCTTTGATGTTTGATCTTTGTATACTTTGAAGCCTAATCAACGAGAAAGGAGATTTAGTCCGCGAAACGGCAGCTAACAAGCTCTAAGTGATGTCCAGGGGTCGGAAAAAACGAATTACTTGTTGGTAGAATCGTTAGGGTTTGGGGCTCGAGCTGTTTCAGTGATCTCAGGCCTACCGGGATGTTAACAAAGCTTGAGAAGAAGGATGTACCACTGACAGTGGATACAAAGAATGTAGAATTTACAGGCCACAAAGACATTTGGCACAGCCCCCAAGATAAGGAAGAAACTAATAAAAACAGCTCGGCAATTGTGCTGAAATCAGCTCTGACTGGGTTAAAGGTGGTTCTGAAAGGGGCAGATCATGACCACCAACTCAGGGACCAATGACCCAAAAAGCCCACTGACTCAAAAGAAGTGAAAGACTGAGCATGTGGACATAACTAGCATGAGAAGCGAGAGAATCATTAACCAATAGAAGACAGAATAGTAATTAATTAATACCATATATTAATACTAATTAATAAGAGAACTAGGTAACTTGTAGCCACTGAACATTAGTGCCTTTGCTTGCTAAAATGTATAAATGGTGAAAAGTTTTTGCTGGCTTTCTGGATTTGCCAGCATTTCTGTGCAGAACTGTAAATAAATTGATTACCTGGACTCTGTGGATTGGCCTCTTGCACGCCGGGTGAAAGAACCTATTTTGGGACAATAGTCCCAGTGGGTTGATTTCCCTGTTCTCCGCAAAGAAGAGGGCCTTCGGGAATGAGCTGGTCAGGGATGTTGTGTTGTTTGCCTGCTGCCTGCTGGGGGACAAAGCTGGAGGAGCATTGCTGCAGGGGCCTTTGGAGCCCTTTTCAACAGTATTCCTGTGTTTTAGAAAGCATAGTTAATGCACATCAAACTGCTGAAAATAAGAGTCTCTTACAATTGCAGAATCACAGAATATCCTAAGTTGGAAGGGACCAACAAGGATAATCAAATCCAACTCCTTACCCTGCACAGGACCATCCCAAAGAGTCACACCATGTGCCTGAGAGCATTGTCCAAACGCTTCTTGAACTCTATCAGGCTTGGTGCTTTGACCACTTCCCTGGGGAGCCTGTTCCAGTGCCCAACCACCCTCTGGGGTAAGAACCTTTTTCTGATATCCAACCTAAACCTCCCCTGACACAACTTCTGGCCATTCCCTCAGGTCCTGTCACTGGTCGCCAGAGAGAAGAGATCAGTGCTGGGTTAATGGTTGGACCCAGTGATCTTAGAGATGTTTTCCAACCCTAATGATTCTAAGGTTTTGGCTTTAGGAAGTTTCTTTTTTGTTGATATTAAAGGCTTTGTTCTCCAGAGATGTAGAAAAATATATGCAAGTTGTTTTTCTGGAAACAAAGTTGCCAGTAAACAAGTTTTCTGGTTTTTTTATTTCTTCTGATATACAAAACAGTGATAGCAGTTATGCTGATTGGGACCAAATAAGTCAATGGCTGTGCATGTATCGTTATGGCCTGATTTACACTGGGGTAACTCTGCAAACTCAGGTAATGTTGGATGAGGGATTACAGTTTCCTCCTAAACACACACAGAATAATACTGCTGAATTTATTTAAAGATGCTGTGCTTTGGCACTGCAATAAGAGAACAAAAGCTCTGCCTTACATTTTCAAATTTCACTCTTCTTTTTCCTAAGCATTTGGAAAATCGATGATCTCCTTTTGGTCTTAGCAGCTAATTAGGAATTGTGACTTGCTTCCAGCAGGATGAAATACAAGTTAGATGTTCCTGAAGTTCATGTACCTTGAGCACCCACATACATACACAGCAGGAGGTACTTTTTCCTCTCTCGAGTGCAAGCCTATAGTCCTTTCAGAAATCTCTCCTGCTGTTTCTCCAGCTTTTCCACCCTCATTTTCTTCACAAACATGTGGCTGCAAATCCAAGGTAAAAACCAAACTGCTTCATTCACAGTCAGCTCCCAAGGAAGTACTTACATGCCCTGTTTCTTTTTTCCCCAGGGTTTTCAGTTTGGGTCAGTGACTCCCATTGCATGGAACAATTTACTACCTTTACTTTCCCGTTTTGTGACCATTGGATTTAGTGACCTCTGTCCCCCTAGCTCCGCAATTGTCTCTCTCCATGACCAACATGTGGAGAGCTATTTTAGCAGCACAGTACCTATACCAGCAGCACTGCCATGTGGCACTCCTCTGGTACTTTCATCTCTGAGTGTTTCCAAAGACTTGGCAGCCTGTGTTTCCCAGCCCATGCATGGCTTTCTTCTTTAAAAGCTATTCCTCCCTGCTCTGTCTTATTTCTTAATAAATGACACATGGAGCCTTGAAACAGATTAATTCCTGGCAGGAGCAGGAGTGTAGGTTGGATTAGCAAACTGGGAAGGGTTAGCCGCTCTGTGGGAATTGGTGGGTGTTTTCCCCCTCTTTGCTGCATCACAGAGTGGAACAGAAAACTCCTGTTCCTGCAGATCTCCCAAAGGACTTCGAAACAGCCAGAGGCTTTTCCCCGAATCTGCTGGCTCCTGATGCCTGTCTGTAGTGGTGTGAGACAGTTCCTACGGGCAGGAGAAAAGATGGTCATGTGGTGAAGTCACTTGGCAAAGGCAGCAGGTTCAGCTCCCAGCCCTGTTGCAGAATCTTTGTCCAAGCTGTGCCTTCTCCCTCTCCCCAGAGCTCATAGCTGTGAGTGTGCATGCTTGGCATGCAAACAGTGCTGAAGTTAATTCTACTGGGAGAAAAACAGAAGGTACAAAGCAACATTTCCATTAACAACGTAATGTACTGTATTGGAAAATCGAGCAGCCAGCTGCTATGCTGAAAACACCTTTGCATTTCATCTCTAATCACTAACTCATTCTACCTCCTGAAGAATCAAGGTCCTCACGGGGAGTGTTTTCTGAGAGATGTCACTTGTTTCATGGGGTAAAAAAATAACTAAATCTCTTCCAGAGAAGCATATTCTCTGACACTGAATCCTGTTGTTTTCACTCCTCCAAGGGTGAATTTGTGCACTTTCTTCATTTTGTAACAGCCATGTCTCTAACTTTAAAACACATCCTTCAGCAAAAGCCCAAGTCACCAATAGTAAATGTCTAAACCTTGCATAAAGCAATGCAGGACAAAGACAGAAATACTGCAGTCAAAGCACTTGACTGAAATCAGTGATTGTTTTTTCTCCTGCTGACAGGGACTGCTGCACAGAGTGAGAAATACTGTGGTGACGAACTGTACTCCTGTGCAGACCTTCTGCGTCATCTGCTCCTTCTGGACCACACTTATAGCAGACTCTGAACACAGCCTGCCTGCTACTGCAAACCGCCTTGGAAACAAAAGATTTTGCAAGAATGAATAAGACCCTTCTTGTCTCTGTTTTTGTCAGCCAGATCATGAAGCTCATTTGACTCTTCTCCTGACTGCTGGTGTTGACCTAAGGAAAGCAATGGGAATATAAAACAAGCACTTAGGAGAGCGGGGCCACTCTCAGCAGGGCAACACAGGCTAGAACTAGAGTATGCTGGTCATAAAACCACATCCTTTTGGGTTCATGCACCAAGGCTTGACAAGTAAGACCCCAAGTGTTTTTTCTTCTTTTTATCAGGGCTGATGTTTATTGAATGTTCGAGATTGGCAGGATTAAATGAAATTGACAGTTCTCCTATGAAATGCCTTTGAAGTTTACATCATCTGTTTTCTTTGCCATTAGCAGTAACCAAAATGGAAAGAACCAGTCAAGACAATTAATCTTTGTCCAGAACCCTGTGGAGGGTTGACCTTGACTGGCTGCCAGATTTCCACCCGGCTGCTTTCTCACTCCTCTCCTCAAAAGGACCAGGGGAAAAAATTACATGGAAAATCTCATGGGTTGATATAAGTGCAATTCCTAGGAAAAGCAAAAGCTGCACAAGGGAGCAAAGTAAAAGGAGGAAATCATTTACTACAACCCAGTCAGCAGACAAATGTCCAGCTACTTTAGGGGAAGCAGGGCCTCTATATGCATAGCAGTTGCTTGGGAAGACAGATGACATCACCACAAATGTCTTCCCATCATCCTCTTTTCCCTCAGCTTTTATTTCTGAGCAAGACATCATGTGGCATGAATATCCCTTGGGTATTTGTAGCAGCTGTCCCAGTTATTTCCCCTTCCAATCTCTTGTCCGTCTCCAGCATACAGTCCTTTAAAGTTGGTGGTGGGGTGTTGGAGGGAAAGCCTTGATGTTGTGCAAGCACTGCTCAGCAATATCCAAACTTGGTGTGTTACCAATGCTATTTTAGCTACAGATGCAAGGCACAGACCAGACAGGCTGCTGTGAAGTTTAACTCCATCCCAACCAAACCCCGTACAAAGCCAGCTCGAATACTGTCTGACACACCACTGAATTTCTGAGACCATTCTCATATAAATTAACCTGAAATCAGACACACTTCTATGACACTTTTTGATTGAAGCTGCAAATAACTTCCACCTTGAGTTTAAAGTAACACCAGGTACTGACCTTCAGTTTAGAGCTGTGTGATTTTTCTAGTGACTTTTTAGTCATGCCCCAAAATACACAGGCTGAATGTTTTAGACTGTATACACAAAGTCACATCTTTTCAGAGTCACCAGAATAAGTGACTCTGTGCTTCAAGTGAATGAGAGAAAAATTAACTTAAATCACAGACCTGTCTACCTATCTCCAAAGTGATCATGCATAACACTTTCAGAAGAGACAGGTTAAATGTGCTGTCATCTTAAAAAAATACTTGTGCCTGTCAAACTTGTGCTGAGTGCTTGCGATTGCTCCGTTTGCATCACCTGTCAAGCTGGGTCAACATGTTGCTGGGCTCTGTTGTGAATTCTCACTGACCTTTTGCAAAGAAAGCAAGCTGGAAAACAGGGAAGAAGCTGACGAAATCACTCATATCACAAGGAGGTTCCTGAACAGAGGTCCCTTACTTCTAGTTCCCACATGTAATGGGCAAGAATGGTCATTTGTCTCCTGTTCCTGTTCCATACAAGCAAATAAATTCTGACATGTGTGCTGCTGACCTTCTTCTGAAGGAGGATCAGTATCAAGCATCCATCTGCAGGAATACATCCATGGTAAAAAGCCAAATGGATACAAAAGGGGAGCAGTGTAAGAAGTGTTAAGACACAGCATAGTTTATCTGAGCTCAGAACAAGTGTGTCTAACTGCAGCATATATGTATGTTGTTAAATTGTCCAGATAAATGTAATCCATTCTGCATTAAGAACTGAGGGCCCCAATATCTTTGTCTTATGCTTATTTAAAGGAAGCCTGTCATGCAAATGAAGGAGTTAACGTGGTTACAGGAAATACAAATCATTAGTACATACAACAGGCCACCCATAAATGTGTATCAAGTGTTGAGCTCAGCAGGAGTTAGTTACAAAACCAGGACACTTAATGAGTCATAAAGCACCCGGAATAATGAGAGATGGCATTAAACAAGCCATTTCTGCCTCTCCTTGGCTTGTCCAGAGACGGTGACAAGAAGCCCTCTGCTGTTTCAGCTTTTCCTGTCAAAGTAAAATTTTTGAGTCACAGTGAATTATAGCTGTGGCTGAACTTCCTGAGCCAGGGAGCTGGTGCCGCTTAGGCGGCCCTGGTGGGAGAAGGAGAAGATGGCAGCAAGCATCTCGTCTCCACTCCTTTGCAGGTCATTGATTTTACCATTTTGTGGTATAATATTCTTAGGTTTCCCTCTGCTTCCAACTCCTTGCACAAGAAGCTATTAATAGTCATGTAACATTGAAAAGAGGGAGAGGAAGAGGTCTTAGAATAAAGTAGGGTGGCAATTAAAAAGCTGAATGTCCCAGGGTAAGTCCTGTTATTGGTGAAGTGTTAGAAGTGCTTAACCAGTTAGGTGGCAATGCTATTCCTAGACTTCCCCTGACGATGGCTGTCAGGAACTGGACTACTCCAGCAAGCTGTCATTGCTCCAACCAGCCTTCTCCTGACTCTCCATTACCTGCTGGCTCATAAGTAGCACTGAAGCTCAGATCCTTGGCCTTAGTGCTGGCCTGAGCTGTGAGAAATGTGTGTTGTATCTCACCTTGGCTCGAGTTCCCAGCTTGACCTTAGACCTTCCTTGTTACTTTGGCCTTGCCTGGACATCACTGGACTGTGGCTGGTCATGGTTACTGCCACTGGACCTGGCCCCATCACCTTGTCTGGCTCCCAGCTCATCTCAGTCTTGCCATCCCTGAGCTGCACTGTCACTCATGAAACAGTGGTCAACCTCCTGACCATAGGGAGTGTGTGTGGTGCCAAGGGTGGACTCATATTGACACCAGCAAAAATTCACAAAACAGTTGCTAACAAGAGCCAGTGAGAGGAAATGCAAGTGTTGCAGGAAGTGGCTCACACAGGGTAAGGGGAGGCATCTTTTCTGGCCTGCTGTTCTGACAGAGATCATCACCAGCAGCTGATGTTTCTTTTTCCCCCATTTCTCCCCAGGTGTTTTGTTCTGTCCACAAAAGAAAGGATAAATCTGCTTTATTCAGTTTGAGTATTGAAAAGTAGCAGTGCCTGCTGTGAACTCTGCCTGCTTCTCTCTGACATGATTGAGAGAATTTTGGATGGTGAGTCCTCCTGCCCTAAAACATATCTGAGACACTGGGAACAATCCCTTGGAGATTCATTCTTTCCCTGTGGGTTGTGGAAAGAGTTTAATGTAGCTCAGATACTTCCCAGCTCCCTGAGTATCCAATGTGTGACAGAGTGCTGCATAACCAAATGTTATGCAGCCTTTATTGCACCTGGAGGATGCTCCTGTAAGTGCCTCCCAGACCCAAGGGTAAAACCCTGGACTTGTTGATAGCAAAGGACAGCCCTATGAAAATGGCTCTGGCCCACAAAGTCTTCAGTTTCCCTACAATGCCTCACTTGAAGTTACATTATGGGTTTGGATGGATTTCCTTTCACAAACAAAACTAGAGTGTAAGGAAAAGCCTGCTGTGTGAAGATCCAAACAGGATGGGCCAGTGAAACTTTAATCCCCAACAGATATGACAAATCCTGCTTCTCAAGACAGAAATACAGTGCCCCGAGAACTGGTTGGCTGTTAGGGTCTTGGCTGGTCATGGTGGGGTCCACTCAAGAATACTATTTTGGAGGGGGCCTCACTTTGGGGATCATCCAGTCCAAACGTCTCCACAGCATGAAATTAATTTTTAACTGGAGAAAGAAGCAGGACCTTATAGAAAATGACTCTTTAAGAAGTCCCAATTTTTTCCTTTCTATAGGAAGACACTCAAGCCCTGTATGAGGAAAAAACTCCAGCCTGAAATCTATGATAGATCAGCTTTGAAGGAGAGGCAGCTCTCTCGTACAGCTACATAGAAAAAGATATTCACTTTGTTTTGCTTTATATATTTTGTTAGAAGTCCGGAGCTTAAATTTTAAATCAAGTCTTTGGGAACACACTGTGAAGCAGACCATCAGTATGAATAAAATATGTTAGTAGGGACATGTTGAATTTAGTGTGACTGTTTGGCAACCTCTGTATTGCAGTGAGGAGGTACTTAGTTGTGGCAATGCAGAGTGGAGATTTTTTTGCTGAAGTAAAAGACAGAATACAAATGAGGCTGTTGCTGCAGAATGCCAGCTAGCGGGAAAGATACACAGTGTCCAGTCTGGATATTTCAATGTTTAAAAAAAATGGTAGTACTACTAAAACTTGAAACTTCTGACCTATAGAAATAGAAAAGCAGAGCAGTGCTTTCCCTGGGCTCTTGTTATCATTGTATAAATCAGGAATATTCACTAAATAAGAAATACCCGGTAGCATTGCAGAACCCTGTATCCATCAGTTTTCACCTGCCTTGTTGGGGAGAATGGGTAAGGCAGCTGCCAGGATTAAAAATTGCCTCCTAAATTAATGTCTCCCTACTTCTCTGGATAACCTCTTAGCAGAGAGGTTTGCTATTTGTATAAACCACTTATATTTACAGTGCCATATCACCCTAATTCAACCAGTGTAATTGTGATTTGCAATCCTTAAAGGAGAGATTTCTACCTCTGGTGTGATCCTTGTGGGGCTCTTTAGACATGACGCTTTTCCTGCTCTCCTACTACCCCTGACTCCATCGCCTTGCATGTGTCTGCTTCCTCCCTACTCACCTGCAGATGTTTTTGCCCTATCCAATCCTCTTCTCCCACACTGCCATCACCGCTGAAGGGCTCTTTACTCTTGAACCTACTTCGACTTCCTCTGCCTCCTTCACTTGCTGCTCAGTCTTCTCCTTGCTCTCTTCTGGATGTATCTTGCTCACTTTCTTCCAAGAATCTTCATTCAAATGAAGTTGTGGTGGCAGCTACTTACAAAATACTTAACAGATGACAACTGCAACTTTGCGGTACTCCGCTCCCTGTTCCTTCTCATCTTCTCTGTGTCAAGCAATGTGTACATAGCACACTGGGAGCAGGGGCGTTCATGTTCTTTGTCCTTTGCTTTCAGTTACTTTAGAATCTTCCCATGGAAGGGAAAACTGAAGCCAATGGAAGTGCAAGCAGCCATCATACTGCGTGCTGGTTCTCCTCAGCACATGAGGGCTGATCAGTTTCTACAACCAGCCCTTCAGTTTTATAGAGCAGTGCAATGGTGAGAGCTATGGAGAAGGACCCATCCATCTCTGCACTAATGCTTTTCAAGGTTAATCCTTCTTTTCTTTGTGTGAAATATGCTGTCAGGAGTGAGTTTTTCATTGCTCAGGCATAGGCACAATATCCCCACCTTCTGTTGCTGTGTTGGTCTTCCTGCAAGCTCCGGGGAAGCAGCTCCCTCTTGTTCACGACATGGTCCACCAGTCACTGCAGTGACCAGAGCTGTCCCCAGGACATGGTCACAAACTGAATGAGTCCATGGGAAATTGCAAAGCTTAGTTCTGTTATGTCTGTATCAGTCTTTCACAGCTGGCTAAAATGCCTCTTCTGCCAGACCCATTAATAGGGAGGTTGCATTTCTCCATAATTTCCCTGAGGACTGAACACATCTCATCAATTGAAGGAAAAAAGGATGGTACCTCACACCTCAACCTGCCTAATTATTTCCAGGATAGTCCTTCCCACCAAGGATTGAGAATGTCTGGGTTATACCCATGGGAGAAGCTAATATGCCAAAATCTGTTTGTCTAAAGTCCAAACAAACATTTGAAATACAATGAATTGCTCACGCTGCACAACAGTTGCCAAAGTCAAAATGCTTTTTCTTTACAGTTGTGTGACTCCTCCCCAGCACAGAGCAAACCTTCATTTCCCATCCCTTTGCTTTGCCTTGTGGGGCTGCGTTGACTCCTTGACCCTTCCTTATTTTATTTCACTGTATAAAGAGCTTGGACAAAACAGAAAAACTGAGCTCCTAACCTTGAAAAACAGCATATTTTTTAAGATCAGTGAAATTATGAAGCGTTGGTTTCCTTGTTCTTAGACATAGTTTTTGCAGATGGATCGCAGGGGTGAGATCTGCTCCTGAAAGCAGTGCTACCCTTTTGTCAGGCAATGATGGAAAAGGTTTTTCTGACCTGCAGAGCAGCCTCAGAGCAGAGTTACCTCTGGCTGTACACTCCCACCTCTGACAGTTGTCAAGCAGTTGACAACTTCAGTTGACAGCTTATGGACTTTTATCATATTTTCTCACAGCACAACTTCCCCCAAATACGAGCATCATTGTATTGTCTGAGCGGACCTATATTGCATTTGGCACCAGCTTTATCAAACATTGGGTGAACCTGTCCAGCAGCACATCTATATTTTTTACAAGATTTGGGACAAATTCTTCTGACTTGCCTATCATGTGGTATAATGCTTATGCAAACTTTTTAGATGCACTGTGCTGATGCACAGGAACACAACCGCAAGATGTGACACTGTGGTGGGAGGTCTCTTCCCTTGGGCCTCTTGCAGGGAGAAGCTGTCACTCACTGCGTTATCTTGACCTTGTTCAGAAACAAAGGTGTAAAAGTATTTCTTGGTCCTAGAGTCCAGACAGCCACAGATTTGATCAGGACTGAGTTCAAGCAGTTTCCTAGAGAGGGTGGCCCTAAGGAGACCTTGGGGCATAGCATGCAGCCCAGCTTCCTTCAGAGGGATGTCCCTAGCACTTTTGGGCTGATGATGTTTTTAGCACCAGCTTGTCCTTGCCTGATACCTTATTCTCAGAGAAAAAGAAGAGTCAGGATTGGATGTCCCTTGGACAGAACATTAGTTGATCAGAGCATAGATCTTTTGAGGCAATTTACTCTGGCAAAGAATTACTTTCTTGCTTGAGAGTTTGTTGTTTGTGTTCTGTGGCAGTGAAAGGCCAGGATGTGATGAGGAAAAGGTGGTCTTTGGTTCAGAGCAGGAGGAGTGAATCACCAGCTCCACAGCTGGAATTGCCCTTGCAACACTGCTTGACACCCTCCTGTTTTTATGGCCTGACCCTGTCTCAGGACTTGAAATCTTTGGATCCAGTCCAGGATTTCTGAAGAAGTCATCAATCTTTCCTAGCAATGAGAGGTAGCGCTGAAAGCATCGTGGGTTAATGATGACGGTGATAAAAATACCAATAAAAATAGTTTGACAAAATTTACCCCAACAACCACTTTCACATATTTTCTGTTTTGATGCAACATTTCTGTTTTATTTGGCAGAAACAGAAGTATTCTCTCTCCTGTTAAAAAAATATTTTTGTTTGTTTATTTTTCACTTCTTTTTCTCCTCTTTATACCAGTTGCTAAGGGAAACAGAGGAGTAAACAAGAAAGAAGAGTGAGAGGAATAAAGGGAAAGAAAACAATTCAGGTTTTGTTATTTTGGATAAACTTTTTCAACCAAACCCAGAAATATCATCATGATAAAAATACAAGAAAAATCCTTTCAGCAAAAGCTGATGGTTCTCTGTGCTTTCTCAAATCAATTCTTGCTGCATGGTGTGTCTTTGAGTGTAGCAAAGGCAGACTAGCATGAGGTATCAAGAAAATGTTGGCTCCTGACAACAGTACTAGTTCAGTTTTAGAACTGCAGAAAACCAATGGTAAACAGCAAGTCCTAATTATTTTCTTGACAATTATCCATAGCTGCTGTTTCACTTTACAAAGTAACTTTAGATTGCTCCTTTCTGCATTAGCGACCAAAGCCTCACGAGAGTCTATGTAGACTGTTCTGGTAGGTTCTGCAGTGTGCTGGAGTCCTGCTCCAAGGAACCTTCAGCTTCCTTTCCTGAGATGAAATCAATGAAGCTCTGCAGAAAGCAGGAGGTGAATAGCAGTGATGCAGCAAAATTGTTTCCTAGACAAAGGAGTTTTTTTCTGCAAGGGTTCACACTGCTCTGCAGAGACCAAAAGAGAGTAAAAACAAGCTCTGTACTCCTTTAGACAGTATCAAACATCTTATAGCAAAACTGTTGCTCTTTGTTAAGCTCTAGAATACTTTTCCACTAGGTAGCCAACAATTATGCAGAGCTAAATGGCGAAGGGAGGTTGAACAATGCAGTCTCAAACCAGGAAAATAGTGAAGGGTTCAAAAAGGAAGGGATCTCTGATATAATTCAAAACTTAATATATGTTTTCAAGATGTGTCTCAGCTGAAGCAGTAAAAGTAAC